TACCAATTAGTATAGCATAAAATCTTAGCTAATAATCCATATTTTAATAATATATAAGTTTAAGTTCTTAATTTTATACAGAAATATTTAAAATATTCCTGAATTTCCCCCTGTGTGACACATGACACATTTTCTCTATGGATCTTCTCTATTTTATCCACCATTTCTCCAATAAGTATAAAATTTAATGTAAATTACTGACTATAAAATCATCATTGCTCAGACAAACCATAATTTTTATAGCCTTCAATCTTGTTTGGTTACAGAGCCATCAAATAGAATATCAGACCCCTCCTACCACACCCACTTGTCACATCCTCTTTTTAGGATTTGTTAATAGTTCTTTCTTACATTTAATTAAATATTACCTATAACCAATAGAAAGTCAAGGTTTTCATCTATCAGATGACATATTCTATTACATTGTGTTCTGAATAGATAAGTGTAAATTTCACTTATAATACAACTTTGTTTCCCACAGGAATCACAATGGCTAGCTTGGTTAAATTTATAACTGCTCTTGTCGCATGTGAGAAAGCCAGAAAAATTGTTAGGGAAGATTGTCTGCTTTTTGGATGTTATTATTATATGTTCCTTGGTGCATTATTTAATTAAATAAAAATTTAGTGTATTACTAACATTAGTATAAAAAAAGTAATCTTACGTGCCGTCGACAGCAAAAAAAAGAAGACCTGGGTAAGTATTTTATTTCTTGTTTTTCATGGTTATTCTTTATTTATTATTATAAAAGGAAATAAAATGTAAAAATAGAAACCTTTGTGGGTTAGATTAGGTAAAATAAATAATATAGTTTCATGTTACAATTTGAAGTCATTCTAGAAAGGAAAAGGGTAATTTAGATTTATTTCGATTTTTTTTGGTGATTACGAGGTCGATGAAATTGACCAACATTGTATCGAGTTAGGGTAGAGAAAATACCAGATAAAATATAAATTTTTACTGAACACAAACATTTGAAATGTATGTAGGAGGTTTTAGAGATTACACAAATGAAATTTGAGATTTTTGAGATAAAGAAAAGTATTTTTAATCTTAACATGAAAATTTCACTTTGCACGCAGACTAGTAAAACCAAACCTCGATATATTCACAGACAAATCTTTTTTTAGTTTATTAATAGTACTTCACTAAAAAATATTATTTTTTTGTATGTGAAAGACTTATAATGCTTTCTGAAAGTCTACCAAATTTTGTGAAGCTATACATAATATATTAAAAGTTTCTAGTATCAAAACTATAAAAACTTTAAAGAGTACAAAGAAGTCATGTGGTCGGTCAAATCAACCGAGCCCATGTTGAAAGATTTAAATTTTAGTATTCATGTTTCTGGTGTGTGAAACACAACAATTCTTGTGGTACTTGGTAGTATAGCACTTTTGTGCTATTAAAAAAACTTTAAGATTATTTCAAACCTGTGTAAGATTAAGAATTTGTGTTGCATTGTAAGCAGCCTTGTATTACATTCTTTTATTTATCATAGGTCAGATGATTAGGCATGTTAAAATGGGAAAAGTAGTAAAAACATACCTTGAACAAATTCCGTTATTGACTCTGAACCCCAGAATTCAACCAATTACACGGACTGTACTGAAAATTACATTAGGATTAACTCCAGACTTCCAGTGGAATGATAAAATTCATGGGAAAACTGAGGCCTTCTGGATTTGGGTTGAAGATCCAGAAAGTAATTATATATATCATTCAGAGTATTTTCTGTTGACAAGAAAACAAGTAAGCTGTTATTTTCTTATTTAGATTATTTCAAAATTAAATAATTGTTGTTTAATTTGTAGTTTAGTAGAGTAATTACTTTTATAAATTACTGTATTTAATGTTACTCTCTCATGAATCATCTGACAATATGTTTACAGGTATATAAATATTTATGAGGATGTGCACAGAACACCATAAATGACAGTATGAAGGATAATTTTTCTTTTACTTTGGTATGTTAATTCCAATAAATCTGCAATGAGGTTTCTAAAATAAATTTTTAGGTCTTCAACATAACAATTACTTTTAATCCTATCACGATGGGCATCCTGCACATATTATGAGGTTTTAATGACTTAGATTCAAAATGTTATTAATCTGCTCTTTGTTAATTGTTATACCACTTAGTATAACATAAAATCTTAGCTATAATCCATATTTCAATGGTATATAAGTTTTAAATTCTTAACTTGATAAGGCAATATTTAAAATATTTTGAAAATGCTTATGATGAAAATTTTTTTTTGGATTACATGTAGAAAATAAACATAGTAAATGTATAAAGTCCAGCCTGGTGTGACACACATGACACATTTTCTCTAGGTATCTTCTCTTCTATATTTTATCCACCACCCATCCAACAAGTACAAAATTTAACCATAAATTAATCACTATAAAAGTGTCATTGCTTAGACAAACCATAATTTTTATTGCCTTCAATTTTGTTTGGTTACAGAGCTATCAAATATAAAATTAGACATTTCCTGCCACACCCACCTGTCACATCCTCTCTTTCAGGATTTGTTAATATTTCTCTCATACTTTTAATTATGTATTACCTATAACCAATAGAAAGTCAAGGTTTTCATCTGTCAACTGACACTCTATTACATTGTGTTCTGAATAAATAAGCCTCAGTTTCACTTATAATACAACATTTTTTCCCACAGGAATCACAATGGCTAGCTTAGATGAACTTGAAATGGCTCTTGTTGCATTTTGCATGTTATTATTCTATATTCTTTGGAGCATTATTTAATTAAATAAAAATTATTTAGTTCATTACTATTATTAGTCTAAAAAAAAGTAGAATACCATTCCAGTCTTTTACTTGTTGTTAAACAAACGTTTAAATAACTATTCAATTAGGTGAGAGTATTATTCTTTTATGGCTAGTATTTTCTCAAATTTTATTAACTTCAGAATGACAGAACATAGTTTTGTTTTCTTCTCATTCCTTTTCCATTTGATGGGAAAAAAATTATTAGTTGTTAAATTTTATCAGCCATATTTCAGCAGTTCAGAAAGTAATCAATGTATAATAAAGTGGAAGTTTTGTTGTTTTATAAATTTGCAGTTAATCTGATTATGAAGTTAACATAAGTTGTTTAGGTTTCATTTTGTGTGATTGTAATAAAAACGTTATTATTCTGTGGATTTCAACCATAACTTCTGTAAATTGGCTAAAGATTTTATGGCAAGAAAGTACAGTTTTATTAGAAAAGGAACTATGGTAATTACAAAAAACATTGTACCTCATTGTTTCCAACTTGTGAGATGATTATTAAATACTAGCTGACTGCCCATCATATGACAGTAAATTCGGATTAATTCTTCTTCCAAAGATTATATCTCAATAAGTATTTTATGAACATGGTTTTTAAAATTTAATTATATTACAGTAGCAATGTATGTATAAAGAATATTTATAATTTTTCTACTATTATACCATTTTTTCAGTATGTATATGGTCATCTCCTTGAAGTAGTCTTTGATTAGAATTTTAACTTATGTTTATTATTATGTTATGTTTAAATTTTCATCTTAGTAAAGCCTGATAGTTTAAACTATGCAAAAAAAACTGGCACTTGATGAAATATTCTTACAGGATCAAATCTGTGAACCTGCAGTTTATTAATTATTATGGCAAAGGCAATGAATTTTATGGTGAAATGCAAATGCATGGAGGTAACTTTTCTGAAAAGATGAATATAAATCTTTTGGCTAAATTTTCATAAATCTCTTAACCCTTTTGAGACGGATCACAGTGCAATTTTTTTAAAGGCTCAGCAACCGAGTACAAAGATCATAACTAGAAGAGATAATTGTTTGCTTTACTTCTTTAGTTACTGTTTTATATTTTAAGAAAAATAAGTGTGGGAACTTATTTCAAAATAGCAAAAATCTATATACATATATAATGTATAATAATTGAAATGTGTCTGTATTTTATAAAATACTAATCTACTAAAACACAGCCAAAACAAGTTACTTTGTACAGACCAAAGGTCCAGTTTTATGTTATTTGATATGGTAACATGAGTGTACGTGAGCTGCATCATTGTAACTTCTGTATTGTTAGCCAGGCATGACTGAAAGGTCAATATAATAAAAATAATAAATATATATAAATGTATAATGTTATGAGATTTAAGGTATTTAGTCTAAACATTTATGTTTTCGTGTTATAATTTGTGTTCATTTCTAGAATGAGAGGCATAATTTATATTTATTTACTAATCTTTTATGGTGGTTGCGAGATCGGTCAAATCTACCAAACCTGTACAGAGATTAATTACTGAAAATAACAGATAAAAGATAAAGTTATTTCTTAAGAAACGTTTGATAACTATATCAACATTATAAAGATTTTGCATGAGAAATTTCTGAATTTTTTGCTGCTGTACGGCACAGCAGAAATCTTAGCTATAATCCATATTTCAATGGTATATAAGTTTTAAATTCTTAACTTGATAAGGCAATATTTAAAATATTTTGAAAATGCTTATGATG